TCACTGTTTCTATTATGCTTTTCTTGTACTTTCTTCTCTTGCTTCGCATGCTATACGGAGTGTGGCGACTTGAACTTCCGCACATTAGTGTAAAGTTCTATGTCGAAAACAGACAGACAGACAGAAATAAAGGGAGTATAAAGCATTATTGCCGTTTGATGGCCTCCTGAATATATATAAAGACAACTGGAATAAGGCTCGTACTCAGCCTATAATTTATGGGGTTTATCTGCAGGCGCCACTTTCTTCTTTCTAATATAGTCAGAGTAAAGCATAGCCAAATTTTTAAGTATTGGTTTTGCAGGGATTTTGTTTGGTTGGTTGGAGGATTTCATCACGAGCTGACTTCAGTTAGAGAACCATTAAAAAACCTGGGAGTACTGGACAGCTGTTTCCGTTATCCTAGTTTAGGACTCTTAAGCAGTACGCACCCCGAACGGGGCTCGAAAACAGGACCTTCTGCTTACAAGACGAGCTAGCTTGTAGACCATTAAGCCACTGGGACACGATCGATCCAACGGCCCATGAATTCTAACTTCTGCTAAGTTTATCACTAATGTTATACCATCCCTTTGTCTGGGAAGTGGTCATCAAGTTAAATTATATCGCGTGTCTATGGTCTGTTATGCTTCGTATAAGTTATCAAACAACACTCACGACTATATCTTATAAGTGGAGGAAGCTGCAGAAGTTTTAACATAATCAGTATGACCAGTCTATTAGAAGTGTGTGTTTAATCGCTTTGAATACTTTCATCTGCACAATCTAAATCATTCTTAGTTTAAATGACATTGAAAGTGCTAACAAGTAATTCTTTCCTATGAAACACTTCCCCAGACTCATTAAATTACGCTTTTCTATACCCTCTGTTAGAGAAGTATTCGTAATGCTTAACTTTCAGTATTTTACTCATAACTTGACGGGGCAGCATTTGGATTCAGAATAGACGCTTACGGACGGATTACACATTTTTCATTGCACTCAACGTCAAAATTATCTATTACTTCATCTTCAAAACTGTGCAATTAGCAAATTAGCTTTACACACTAACACATAACACAGTGCTGTGTTTAAATACTGGAATTTCCTTTTTGACTGTTTTATACTATCTTTTATAAAACATCATTAAAATCTTTTAAACTTTACAAGCTAAAGAGGCATTAATTTATTGAAACGACGAACTTGATTATTCGAATCTATTTGTAAAACATATTTACAATGGCCAATGTGTATAGAAACAAGATATATGCATATACTAGCAGAAACATCTACCACACTAGTCAGACATTTTATCTTACATGAACAAATGTTTTTTTTCAGCTGCGTTGATAGACTCAAAAATCATGAGCATGTAAAATCCATAGACTCCCTGTGGTAGTAGTAGTAGTAGTAGTAGTACTTACTATTCCCTTTTAATGAGATATATAGTCTGGTTAAGCTTGTTTGTCATTATTATTATTATTCCTTTGGATCCCAAGTGGTACATAAATAGAGTGCTTCAGCAGTACATCTCTATTTCACTCTGTTTTCTCCAGTTGTTTTTAGTTGCCTGCACAATCACCAACAGACCTTTATCCCCTCCATGTTTCCCTTGGACCAACGCCCAACTCGTCGTTTCCCATTCAGGGGTCAGCGTAGCGCGTGATGTCACTTAGCAGTCGCCTCAGAGTATATCCAATCTATTTCCTTCTGCGTATATGTTGAACCGTATAGTTTATTGCCTGCTGGAGTTTCTTGTTGCTAGTCTTTTCTGACAGGTCATCTTATCTTTAGTATGGAGTGAAGGCAGCTGTTGATAAATGTCTGCAATAGGCTGTTGGAAGTGTATTTCGTGATGCACCAAGTCTCTAAATCATATATAGTAGCACTAGCTTGACATTCATACTGTCTATTAATACTCTAGGCAAGAATTATTAAGCAGAAATAATTATTCTTTTTTATCAGGACATCATCCAATGCCACACTGTGTTGTAGTATGTAAATATAAATGCTGTAAAACTGTTATATCATACCATATTGTCATAGCTTTTTCCTCCTAACAGTAAGAATATTTGCCGTACTATTTAACATTTTAAGTACACGTGAGGTGACTTTAAGCCAGTAAAACTAATCTCCTTGGCCATACGCTGAGGAAACCATCAAGTGACATCACTAGACAAGCTCTCAAGTGGAACCCGAAAGGGAGGCGGCGAGTTGGTCGTCCAAGGGTGACTTGGAGGAGGTCATGCGAGGAGGAGATGAAAGCATGTGAACAGACCTAGAGCAGGGTGAAAAAGTTGTCAGAAAACCGAAGGCAATGGAGGTGCTCGGCTGAAGCCCTCTGTTCCTCTAGGAACTAAAGGATACAATAATAATAATAATACCTTGTATGTGATTTTTTTTAAACAAGCCTATTTTAATCAGTCAGTACACCAATAAATCAATAACTTATCAAAATAGAAGAATCTCAGTACTGTGAAAAAGTACAATGTTTATAATAACCGATACAATATTACTGGCATAGTAGTAGCACAGTTGACTGTCTTTAATCGTATCAAGGGTAATCATAGTTTAAACAACTAGAGTTAATGATAATTATGATGATAGTAATAATAGCTTTATTCCAAACAGTATTTTTGATACAATGTAGACTTTTTAGTACATAACGCAATGTTGCATGTAACTTTAGCAGTAAGTTAATAGTTTATTGTCTAACACTTTTCTGATCACATAAAATACGTGCCAAATGAAGGCATAGTACAAATTTCCCACTTAGTGATCTGGGCATAAAGTCTTTTATAATTGCTTGTAGTTCTGCCTGATGAAATGTGAGGGTTAAGTTGATATAAGAATAAAACTTGTGCACTGTGGTAGAGTATAATTCAATTATGGGTAAAATTTGTTTTTGATAAAGTCTCACAGTCTTATACAGTAATGTTTACTGATGTTGACGTTTCGAACACAATTTATTGCTCATAATCATATCAAGGTACCCACACAAATTTCTAACTTCATTTATATAATTCCATGGAGGATTTAATCATGAGCTGACATCAGTTAGAGAACCACTGGAAACCACCTGGGAGTACTGGATAGCTGTTTCGTCCTGGTTTGGGACTCCTCAGCAGTATGCACCCACCGGGGCTCGAACTCAGAACCTACTGGTTACAAGGCGAACTCGTAGACCATTGAGCCACTGGGACTCGATCCAATGGTTCTTGAATTCTAACTTTTGCCAATTCACGACGTAGCGCGACCACTTTGCAATGTCTTCTTCGATGAGTTACTGCATCATCTTCGACCTGGTGTACCCTACTGGTCCATTATTTTTCATCGCTTGGTTTGGTTGGTAGTAGTGTAACAACAGAAGACAAGGACCAGGCAACAGATCGTTTATTATGGAAATCAACACATATTTATAGACTTTCCTATACATATTATAGATTATTGTTAGCAGACAAACACAGTCTTCTGATTGATTGTTTCTCACAGAAAGCCACCCTTGCATCTCTTTGTGGCTGTTTCTTTAATGTCAGATCATCTATATGTTAACTGTATCTGCCTACGCAAAGCCTTTGTTCTCATTTTTCTCACGACCAACATTGGAGACATAGTCATTGACGTAAATTACTGTCCACCAATTTTGACTAACAGCCAGCTCCCACCACAGTAGTATTCTCCATATTTCCGGTATGAGTGATGAGTCATTCCTGTTGCATGTGGTGGGTGTAGTTTCTATGAACAAAGATTCAGTAAACAACCTCTCTCTCCACCTACCTACATAACTTTTTAGAATCTTAACCCTTTCCCATCCTATTGTGTGGTTGTGTGTTAATGCGTGCAGTGCGATTGCTGAGCTTTTGTCTAAATTACTTATCTTCTCGGCGTCAACCATTCTTGCCTTAGCTAAATTCTTATGTTCCGAAAATCTGACTACCCCTGACCTACTAGTTTGACCAATGAAGTTGTGCTCGAAACGTCATCAGTAAACATTACTGTATAACACTATGAAACTTTATCAAAAACAAATTTTACCCATAATGAGGATTAAGTTGTTTATAAAAATGATGCTCATAGTAGGATAAGATGATGATGTTCGTCAGTTTTTAGCATGAGTTCAAGTTTGTGTCTATAATATTATTGGTAAGTTGACTTAATGACCCCCCCCCCACTCACCTTACCAACAATTTTTAGTTCCCTTCGTGGTGTAACAAAGTCTTTCTGAAGTAGCCCTGGAAAAGTTAAGGGGGAGCAGTAAAGAAGTATAGGCAGAATACAAGAATTAACAAACTGTTCAAGTAGAGACTGAATGATACGAGATTGTCTTAACTTCCTTACATAGAAGGATAGAAGAAATATCTTGCTAGAAATTAACATGATGTGGGAAGACTAAGAAAGACCAGAGGAAAACCGTAGTCCAAAGTATTTGACATTTGGCATAGTTGCAAATTCACTGCCTTCTATGATAAAACAATCATGGGAACGAACCAATTCGTGTAAAATCCCTCTTGTGTCTGAAGGTGAAGTTAACAATCTGACATTTGGAGTGATTTAGCTTAAGATCGTTTGACAGGGACCACTGAATAGTTTCTGATAAAAAAGCTATTCATTTTGGAACAATTTGTGATTGAGTTGTGACCGATATGGAGACGATCAGGTCATCGGCATACTTAACAAAACTGACTTCATTAGAATATGAGGCAAGTCATGTAAGAAAAAAGAAAACAGAAAAGGAGAAAGAACAACTTAAATTAATATATATTATTACTGCTTGACGTGTTAAATAAAAAAGCTGGTAGGAAAATGTTTCTACTTTACTACAGTATGATTCATGTAAGGAATTAAAGCAGTTCTTTATATATACCAACACAATTGACAGATTTTGTGGCAACATTAACACTCTAATGTGGTTATCAGTACTAAATATTGCATGATTGTTTCTAACCGATTTAATATATCTACCGCATCTACTAGTGTATGCTTTATAGTACAACTTTTCTTTCCTTTTACAAATTTAATAGAATACTCAGTATGAATTGTTGCTACCAGTCAGTCGGATGGTGAATACAAATGAAAATTTAGTCGATGCTAGTGCTTATATTTTAACTGAAGAAAAGACTTTAGTTCCAGCTGCTCCTCCAGCAGATGAAGTCACTGTCACTGCAACAGCTGAAGAAGAATTAGGCGGTGCAGAAAATCCTCAAACTTCTGAGATATTCTTAAATCATAATGTCTATAATAATAATAGTAATAATCAGAGTACAGGAGCGACAACGCATAGTGGAGCGAAAAATAAAACGAGATTTGTCAATAGACCATTATGGGAAACTGGAGAGATAGATGAAAATACAAACCAAGCGCCAGAAGCACAGGCTCTTCCTTGTTCTTCATCACACTTTCGTCCAGATTCAACAAGCAAACCAAACATGACGGAAGATGCTTTACTGTCTTTTGATGAGAATTGTGCAAGAGATTTTGTAAGTTCTTTGAGGCCTTTTATCAATGATCCATTTACTATCCAAAAGTTGGTAAACTTTCTGGAAAAGAAATCTTGATTAGATGTATTATTATTATTAAAACACAAACTTGGTACATCGTAGGCACTAAGAGGATGCCCCACTTAAAATTTCATAATTTGTGCGCGGGGGCTGAACCTACTGTTCGGACTCCCAGACTAAAACAAGTGATTGTCTTAAGCGGCCACTTTCCGAGACTTGGACTTGAATTCTAATCAACAAGGCAGTGAAGCAGCCAGTCTTCCCATGGTTTCCGGTGACTAAAGCAGGTTCATACGCCTTAGGTTTGGAATCAGGGTTTTCCGGCTCTATTAGGCTGATCAACATATCCACCAGTCCAGTTGTAAACTTCAGACGTTCGCATTTGCTCTTTTACTTTTGTAAAGAACAGAACTTAATGACTGTTTGCCCCAGGTATTTATAATAAAGGTTTTACAAACTATCTGTTGTTCAGAATTTCTATTTGTGGGTGGTGACTAGCAGTGGAATCCAAGATAACGCGCATTTCGTCCCATTTGGGACTCGTCATCTGGATGTGCCTACATTCCCCAGTGAGTCGTGATGTCCCCACCGAGGCTCGGACCTATTGCCTAATTAAATATCTATTGTTCATGTAACAAAGTAATATTTACCACTTATGCGTGTAAATATACACTAAAACCTTTCTAACAATGCATATACTGACTAGAATATACAGTTCTATAACAGATGTGTGAATAAATCATTGAGATTCAGTGAAAGTATGTTTCAAAGTTAGACTAATTAGTACTTTCTTACATTCGCAGCTAATGTCTTTTGTATCTTATCATATTATTTTCCGTAAAAGTCATTTTGACTTCACTACATTTGTCATAATATCCAACACGTTTGTGTTGCCAGTAGACCATCGATCTTCAAGCCTTTCAGTTTCATTTAGCGTTGTTGTTTTTCTAGGGCCAGTTTGCTAGCCTTCACACCCAACCTTCCGTCTTTTTCTAAGCTTACTAACGGTCAGTAAACTTGGTGAGATTTAGCAGTGTGTCGGTCAGGAATCGAACCTCGGGTCACGTGCATGGTTGGCGAGTATTCTAGCACCGAACTACTGGCGCAGCAGTCCAACACGTGTTGAAGTAAATTTAATGTATTCGCCAATAGTGTGTTAACAGGATACCAACTCTCAGTTGAAGTTATTTGTTTAGATACAAAAAGAGAAAAGCTTGTAACGACTGAAGACAAGGACCAGGCAACATATCCTTCATTGAGAAAATCAAGAGTTATTCTTAGATTTTTATGTACATTATTGTCAGTGGAGAAGCAACCTCTTCTGATTGATTGTTTTCTCGCTGAAGGTTATTTTGTACTGCTTGTGACCATTTCTTAGAAAGCTAAGTCATGTGTCCGCGAATCGTTTTTGCACACACTAGGTCTGCTGTGATTGGTTGGTGATTTCCTCAAGGTTAAGCTCTGCTATTGTTTTTTTTCTCATGAACCTGACTCGGGACGTAAACACATTGACGTAAACTGTCGTCTACAACTTTGGCTTGCACACAACCCTCACCACAAGCTGAGTGATTTGACTAATATGTCAACCTTGTTTTGGGCTTTCCTCTTGTCCTTTAAAATCATCGAGACAAATGTAATCCCTAGTGAATCCATTTACTGTACAAATCAAACTGCTAGGTATTAATGCATTGAGAAACAGAAGGGCTGCGTGTGCTTTTGGAAGTGTGTGGGCGGTTGTTACTTCCGGGTTGCCTACACCGTGGAAGTCTATGCGTGCCATGTTAAATACTTAAAACAGTCAGTCAGAAGTCATGTTTCCTCTACTTATAATGAGACTTTATATTTGAACTTAGCTTATCTTTATTCTGATTCCTGCATCCATTTATTTATCTACGGTCCCACTGCATGTCAAGGCTTTATCTGCTAAGATATTTGAATTACGTATTTTGTTATCGTAGATGTCTACAACATCTAAACTCGGTTTCAGTAAAGTGTTTTGCTCACTTGAAACATTTGAAAATTAATCTGATGCTCACTAGCGACTGGATCCATACAGGAAGTTACCTAAAATTCTAGTGAGAAGTCGTGACCAGCTGGGTTCAGCAAGTGACGATAGTTACTAGCTGATAACACTGATTAACGGCTGCGCTACATATTTTGTCAGTTGACAGAAGCTGAAATTCACGAGCCATTAGATCGGATCCCAGAGGCTGAGTGGTCCATGAGCTCGCCTTGCAACCGGGAAGGTTTTGAGTTCTAACCCTGGTGGGTGTGTATTACAGAAGAGTTTCAAACAAGGAAAAGTCGATGGTTTTTCAGTGGTCCTCTACCTGATGTCAGCTCGTGATCAGACCTGTAACCAATCAAAACCCAGCAAACCAGTACTTGAAAATATAAAGAATGTTATTCATTCTCCAAGCTTTGACATTTGACCGTTATTTCCGATAATGTCACACGCTAGACGCTTAATTATGAAACATTCACAATGAAATATCACAACTCAGAGAATACCGAGCAATTTTCATCTTCATTCTGAGCTAAAAATCTATGTTATTTTCGGGAAGTGAATGTTTCAAATTTACTTTATAATTTTTTTATTAGATAATAGTTGAAACTCCTGATGGTGAGACATTGTATGTTCGTCAACAGTCTAATGAAGATGGAACTACTGGCTTGGTTATACTAACCAGTACAGGTGAACAAGTGAATAATCCAGCCTTGATGGAACAAGTGATGGATGCCATGATCAGCTTGCCTGGACAGTGCATCAGTGACACACTAAACTCAAATAAGTGAGTGAATCACTGTTTATTTTTTTCTGTGCGATATGATTGTTTTATTAGTGAGAGAACTTAAAATACGTTACTTCCATTTAACCACTAAAAGGGTACTTCATGGTATATTTATTCATTGTCTTTTCCAGCGTAAATTTTGATTCAGATTCGGCTACTTTACCTCTCCAGCGTCCGAAGAATAATTCCAAATTAGTAGACAACCAAACAACAGTTATATCCAGTGATTCTTCTCTCCAACCTGATATTAATGGCTGCCAAACAAACTGTCAACAATTAAGTCCTCATATTACTGAAAATGATGATGATGAGGAGGAGGACGGTGAAGATGATAATGAGGATTCCGACAGTGATGAGGAGGAGCCACTAGTAGCTCATTTAGCCGCGTTGGCAAATCAACCCAGATCGGAGCAGCCAACCATCTGCATAGAAGGTAAGTTTAATCCTTTAGTAGGTTTTTCATATGGTGGTAATGGTTCATCCACTTATCTAATGTGTTACGTGTTTTTATCAGTTTAATCGATTATCCTCCTTCAGGCGATGATTTCCTCTAACCGTGTTCACCTTCATCTTTTATTTTCTAAAACTCAGTTCCCGGAACAAGTCTTACATATTCCATGTCATGAACCACAGTTTTATTGTCTAAGGGTTGATGATGTGAGTGGAGCGGGTTTTGAAGCCATTGTCCACTAACTGAAAGCCGTGCACGTCAGCCATAATTCACTTTCATTGGAACTAGTTTGTGTTTTAGAAATAGATTTTTAAAAAGTAAACGAACAGAATTAACAGTGTGGTGAGAGCAGGCTGCTAGCCAATTGGTCGACATTAATCTACGTCAATGTCTAGGTCACTAATATTGGCCGTGAGAAAATATGAACAAGGCTGATTCAACAACCAATCACAGCAGACTTGAGCGTGGGCAAATATGATTCGCAGATAGATGGCTCCACTTTACGAGGAACTCGAAAACAACCAATCGGAAGACTGCGTTTGTCTGCTTAACTTCCGAGAAACAACCAATCAGAAGATCGCGTTTGTCTACTTGAAAAAGCTCTAATAATGTACATAAAATATATATAAATACGTGCTGATTTCCGTAATAAAATGATCTGTTGCCAGCCCTTGTCTTCTGGTGTCGCTGCCTCCAAAAAAATGAAGATCCCGTGGCCAGCTGCGTTTGAAGAAGGAGACATACGGAGCTTCTTGCGTGACTTCGAGGCCGTCGCTGAGCTGGTGGGTGTCAAGGAGCAGGCGGCGAAGGCGAATGTCCTGGGGACGCTGTTGAGGGGCCGAGCGAAGGCGGCATATGACAGCGTAGACAGGTCAAATGGCACAGCGTCTTGGAAGAAATTGGTTGAACGATTAATGTCGGAGTTTGACTGCGCAACAGACAGACAACTAGCAATGCAGCAGTTCCGGTCAACGAAGCTGGGACCTGATGGAGATCCGCTAGTGTTGGCGGTGAAATTGATGAATCTACTTCGACGTGCGCTTCCCACTTTGGATGAAGAATCAGAAGTGCAGTTACTGTCTTCCCAATTCATCGAGTGTCCCAGACCACATTTCTCAGCGATTACAACTGGTCAACACAACGCAGCCGATGGATATTAGTGAGCTGGCGAAGGTGACCAGACAGCTGCTGAGCACAACTGTAGCCGCTATAGAGCAACCAAAACCGAACGAATATGAGCAGAAAATTGAAGCATTGCAGCGGGAAGTGGCGGCGTTAAAGTTGGCTGATAGAAAAGACCGATGTTTTGAATGCGGTAAGCCGGGACACTGGAGAAGATATTGCCCAGAAAGGCGAAAAAGAAAAAGTTTCAGACGGTATAATACTTGTTCTTTCTCTCGTATGAAACTAGATTTAGTGGGGTCTATTGAGAAAGGGGCTGTGTATTCGAAGTTGCGAGTGAATGATCGAGAAGTAGTATGTTTAATAGATACAAGGCCGGCCGTGTCGTTATTATTATTATTATTGTATCCTTTAGTTCCTAGAGGAACATAGGGCTTCAGCTGAGCACCTCCATTGCCTTCGGTTTTCTGACTTTTTCACCCTGCTCCAGGTCTGTTCACATGCTTTCATCTCCTCCTCGCATGACCTCCTCCAAGTCACCCTTGGACGACCAACTCGCCGCCTCCCTTTCGGGTTCCACTCGAGGGCTTGTCTAGTGATGTCACTTGATGGTTTCCTCAGCGTATGGCCAATCCATCTCCATTTCTTCTGCCTATTTGTTTCACAATCGGTTCCTGATTGGTTCGCTCCCAGAGATCCCTGTTGCTGATATTTTCTGGCCGGCCATCTGATCTTGAGTATTGAGCGGAGACAGCTGTTAATGAAGGTCTGAAGTTTGTTTGAGATGCTCTTTATGACTCGCCAAGTCTCTGATCCGTATAGTAAGTAGCACTGAGTTTACATTGGAGTTGAAAATCCGGATGTTATTTTTGATGCTGAGTGCTGTTGACCTCCACATAGATAAGAATTTATGTAAGAGTGTTAGTTCGTGTTCATTGACAGTACAAACAGTAGGGGGGCATGTGTTGTGTATCACGGGTAGATCGAACTGTCCGGTCGTTGTTGGCGGCTGCGAGGTGACGTTTCCTTTCATTGTTGTACCCGAACTACAGCGAACGATATTAGGAGCGGATTTTCTGCGGGAGATTGATGCAATAATTGACACGCAAGCGAAGGTTGTGGTCACGAAATACGGGCATATCAACATGTATAAGAACAACGAGATAGCAGCGGTTAAGCTGTCGACAGTACAGAATATGACAGAATTAATTAATAAATACGACCATCTGTTCACTGGAAATGGGGACCCATACGGTTATTGCGATAAGGTGAATCATGAAATTCCGTTAAGTGATCCGAAAGTAAGGTCATTTACAACGCGAAGAGTTCCATTTCATCTGGAAGGCGAAGTGGAGCGGCAAGTGCAAGAGATGTTAAAAGATGATATTATTGAGGAAGCTGATAGCGCAGTGTTTAAGGTTTCAAATCAGGTAAATATTTCGGAATTTTTTAGGGATATCTTGGTGAATTTTCATTTAGAACTGTACAATTTTGCAAGTGACGAATTGTATTCAAAATATCTCCCCATCATGAGGGCAGATATTTGTTTCTTGTACTGTTTAATTTGTGAATATATTTACAACTTATGTGCTCCTTTCGAAAATATAAAGCAAAACGTAGGAAGATATGTATCCGTACAGAAGAGACTGAAAATTCACCCACAGTCTACAACTTCAGAAAAGCGTTTACGATAGGTTGCATAATTGTGTGATGATCCAAATAGTGACTGGAATAGAATTGAACCTCATAAAGCGAAAACAGTGTTAGGACGGACAAACTTCTTTGTTAGCTGTGAAGTCATGAATTATGCACGCGTTGATACGATAACACTTGGACAATTTTTGATTCGTTTCGTAATGGCTTAAATTCCTGACGTTGTCTTGTAAATGTGATATACTATGTATTATGCGTAATAAACGTTGTTGTTGTTGTCGCGACTGAATCTGACGTTTTTGTCTATCTCAGTGTGTAGTTATATAGTGTCCTATCTGGAGGCACATTCTACTCAAGTTATACAACAGCCAGAATCCAGTAACACTCCGTCAGAACACGAAAGTAATACTTAAAATGAATCTCAACATATAATACGTAACTTCTGAAATCAGGGATTTCGACTTTCACGCCTAGAATGTCTACAAACCTTATAACAAACAGTTTATTTTTACTTTTTTTTGGATTAGCTACACCTCAAGCTTGCTTCTATGGTGGTGTGAAAACAGACAATGTGTTCCAATGGAATATTATTCTCACCAATTCCCACAATTTAATACAGAGTTAGCAACAGAATACTACGTATATATATTTGAACATTCTATTTCATGTCGTTTAAGGTGAACCAAAATAATCACACGCTCAGTAGTTACTTGACGAATATAAACAGCGATTTGATCACTTGAAAATATGCCTTGGCTTCTGCTGTTGCACTTCCAACCTAATTTCTCTTCAGCTAAGATTGTTTTTATGGTCGTCGTTCCTTTACTGTAAAACTGTTTTTGTACATTAGCTCTCAAAATACATCAATTAATTTTTTTTCTCCATAAGGGATGGGACCTGGCGCTTCACCGCATCATTTGAGAAGATGGTGTGCACATAATGGGATATGTATTCCTGGAGATGCAGAGGGACCATCGTTCATTGTTGAATTCATGTATGAAGATGAAGCGTATACTCTTTCAGCATCATACGGTAAGTGCTGTTTTTCTTTTAATGCTACTAACTGACTGTCACAATAGCTTGATAATTCTTATTCAGTATAACTTTGTAATAAGATACACAACACTCGGGGAAGTATACAACTATATTTTAGCAATTATCACAAATAGAATTCCGGACAAGTGAATGATATCGGGCGGTTAAAACTCGCAAACTCTATACATTTCTGCAACTAATTTAGTTTATTCAGTCTGTAACAGAATAATGAGTCAAAAAGGATAGGCATAAAAAAGAGGCTGTATGTTTTCATGCCTCTTTCAGCTTCTACATTCCCTTTCAAGTCGGTTCAGTTTAAACACATCCATCGATATGCAATAAATATAATATTGCTAGTCAAGCGACTGGGGTATCATTAAACCAACTCGTTAATACCGTTGTAGATAGATACATGGAGTCATGCAAGAAATGATCGAATATTATATTGTGTGACCGTGAGCTTCTTTCCTGTGCACAACTCTCTCTCCTTGCATCTTATCAATATAGGACTATAGGAGACTTTTTGCTCGAACCACTAAGTACAAAAACTCTACGATACCTTATTTAGCATACATTTTATGGGATGAGAAAAGTGTAGGGCATGACACTACTAACTTACTGAGAAACATTAAGTTAACAGCCCTTTTATTCCTTTATTTCATCATCACATTGTTGTTAATATTTTCACTTAAATTTTAATATGATATCCTTATTTAACAGTATTTAATTAATTTAAATACTTCACCCTCTGTATTATGTAAAAAAAATTAGATGGAATACGTGCTAAAAATTCCATATTTGTATCAAAAGCTATTGTTATTATTATCATCCTTATTGCTCTTTCTTGTCCTGATGTCAATGTATGTCGAGTAGACTTCTACTCATTTATCTCTTACACATCGCGTTAACCTATTTAAAAGACATAAAAGTACAAAGTAATGATTGATTGATTGAGGTGACTAGTCGTACACCATTTCACATCAACCAGTAGGTGCTTGCCAGCCAACCAGATCGAAGTGATATAGACATCGGATGGCGAAGATCAGAATCAGTTCAAACCACTCGATAAACAGGGGAAATCAATCGACGAAGTTGTGAAGTTACACCGATTGAGATGGTTAGGACATGTGTTACGTATGCTTAGTCAGCGATCACGTTCCCCGACGAGCAATGTTAGCGGATATAGGGTCAGGCTGGAAAAAAGCTAGCGGAGGTCAAACAAAAACATCGCACCAGTCAATGAAATCTACAACAGTTAGTCTAAGCCACGTAGGAAGATGTAGGCTTCCTGGTTTGGGTCCTCGAGGCAGTAAAAACCAATGGCTGGAAACAATTGGTGATATGGCTCAAAGTGATCGTTGTCAATGGCTGGCGCAGATGCATCCACTCCTTGTGACTTATGATTCCCAATGAAACTGTTTTGTTCTTCGTTACTACTATTCCTTTGTCTTACACCTCTGTTTACTGGATTTATTTTGGATATCTTCCACTTTCTGCTCTTTCTTTGTGTGCTACATGGAGTATGGCGACTTGAAGTGCTGCACATTTGTGCAAAGTTCTATGTCGAAAACAGACAGACAGACAGACTGGATTTTTGGCTAGCTATGTGGGCGGACTAAAATGACAGTTTTTACAGTCAGTCTGACTTTAAATACTATATTATTCATCTGTATATATATATATATATCTTTATTTAGATTCGGAATCCGGTTGTATCAATTTCTCTCATGCAAAAACTGAAGAGGAAGAGGGAGTTCAGCAATTCTAAAATAACCTACTACTACTACTATTTCAAGACATGACGGTTATGTGAATATTTTCATTGCATTTTTATTGTAAAAAACAGAAAGGAAAATTTGTTAACTTTTATTTTTTTTAATTAATAAATAACACATGGAATAATTGTGTGATTTTGCATCTTTTTAAAAACAAAACAAAAGAGCGAATATACCGAAATAATATATTATAAAGGATATCTGTAGGAGGCGGAGAAGGAAGAGGGAGGCGCGACTGTAATAAAATATGCTCAAGGTAAGTTAAATAGACTTTACAATGATAGGATCTAGAAGTATGTGTTGTTTAAGTAGAAATGGCAAAGACAACTGATTAACCCAAGTTACAAATGATAGTACATTTTTAGTCACTGATGGATGAGGTTTGTCGTTTAACTGACATAGGGAAATAAATCGATACTGGAGGATTCGACGAATTTCACGTATGATAAGGAAACGCAAACTGAGTGGTGGATTCAACTGGCTTCTTATATGACTTAACCTGTAGTTTGTTGTAATAAAAAGAACAGTGAAGTAGATATTAATATATATATATATATATATATATATATATATATATATCAAAGACGGTAAGGTGAACAAGATCAAATAAATAAATAACTGATAAATTTCAATCTGCACTAAATGAAGTATCCATCACAGTCCTATAGGAGATCAATAATCTCGAGCTTCAATCGCTCAGTGATGATATCGTCTCTGACTGCAGCACTCGGTGACTCGCGTTTGAGTCTCAGAAGGGACATGAGTTTCTTCAAGACTGCAGATACGTCTTGCTGACGATGCTGATGGAAAGATATGAACAGATTCTTCCATATAATCACTAATTAAACCGTTGTTATCGTCAGGATCATTTCCTTTTTGTTTCTCACCTTTCTAAGTCATCAAACGACACTTACATTTCATGCTTCACATCCAGAAGTTAATCACACCTTGTCGGACTTTATGCATAACAAATGACTTTTTTTTACTATTCACTCATACTGTTACGCATTAATATGTTTTGGACTCGATTTTAGATCTCTTGTCTAATAACATATTAGTGATGCGAACTCAATTTACTGTTTAATACCAACACCATTTCTTTTTTTATAATTAGTCAATAGATTCATTTTTCTTTATCATATAAGAGTTTTCATTAGTTTATGCTGGAAGTCGCAAACTAAGATTGACATACTGATTGAAGCAACACTAAGTTTGAAGCACAGAAGCAGTCCTACACGGCTAAGATTAATAAAGGGGAAGTACATACGGCGTAGAGAAATACTGTTTACTATGTGTTTGCTACTTACTAACTAGAAATGTTTGGGGAGGAATTTTCAGTAGCGGTGTTGCTGTTGGCTAACCTCACCTCTTTTTAAAGCTTATTATCGGTAAGTAGATGAGGTGAGATTTAAGATCTCGCCGTTCGGAAGTCGACCCAGAACCACATGCGTGGCTGGAGAGCATTCTACTAATGAACTTTCAGCGCGTTTTAAAAGTTTAATATATTGTCAAAAACAGGAAATGAGATGGCACCTTATCTCAATATGATGACTATTCAAAAATCATAGCAGACGACTAATGACTCAACGTGGTGGTCAGTCTTGCATATCTCAATAACTGGCATGCGATGTTCCTCAATATGTCCGATCCATTTTCATCATCATACTTGTTGGTCAATAAGGTTGTTGGTTAGTTCGTCCCCACGGCTCCTTGTTGCTTATCCTTTCTGGCTATCTAGTCTTCAGTATCAAGCGAAGACAGCTTTTGATAAATGCCCTCAACAGAAATCCTTCTAGTGACGCGTTGCAAATCCTATAATGATTAGTTAATAAGTTATCAGTTTTTGGTATGATGTCGACTACTTGAATTACGATGCATGCTTAAGATTCATGTCGTACTACTGGTGGAGGAGTGTAACAGTATCTCATTGCTCTCCTTACGCAATCAATGGGTCTCAAAATTATACATGCCGACTCACCCAGTGACGGGAAGAATCCCTGCAAGGACAAAATGTCTCAAGTTCTGATCCTTTCAGATAGTTAGTGTGTGGTTGATTACAAGCTCTGCTCTAAGGCTAAATCAAACTATTTCCCTGACATGTACATCTAAGGAAATTTAAATACTGTTTGAAATTCGGTTATTCTGTGAATAGATGAATTCAATTTCACCAGTTTATTGAAACCAGTGGATCACATTTGGTAGCTAACTCGAGAATTAAATATACCAAGGTGAAACAAACCAAACATGTGGAATGGCTCAATTCCTCCTCTATGTGGTAACTTCAATTTTAAACAAGAAATACTTACATGTTATCCAAACTTCGGTTTTCCAATTCATCTGAATTTGAGTGAGTTATTTCCTCGAATATTGAGCATTCATGTAACTGGCCAAGAATAATTAATTGGTAAAGCAGTACTTCAAGCTTGTTTGCTAATAGTCCAATATTAGGCGAACAGGAAATAGACGATACCAAAGGCTTTAAAAGTCTTTCTTTCAAAGAGTTTGTGTTAGATGTTAACTGATCACAACATTGTGAGAGATTGTCTTCGTGTACTAGTTAGTAATGAAAATTCATTGGGAAATTAACACTATAAGGAGCATTTATAAACACAAATTCTAAAATGGAGATTTAAACGATTATCATCAAAATAATTCACCTTATATTTTTCAACTACTTGAGTTTTTAATATACTGAAAATATTCACTCAGACACATCTATCAAAAACACAGCAAAGAATATCCTTTTCGATAAATTCCTCTTCTAGCTCTACAATTATATATATTTATATACATAGAATATTCTAGATTAGTAGTTTCTATGTTTTATCTCTCAGTCCCTGAATTGAGCTACCGCATTTCGGATATATCAGTTTTCTGAAGACAAGGTACTTTATCAACACACAAAATTCCTTTTGTTAGCAAATACTAACTTTAAGCAAACACAACTAAACAGTTGAAATTAAACTAACAGCATTACAATTAAAATACTGTTTCTAAAAATGATAAATTATCTCTCTTAAAGAACCGTAGTAGCTAAGTTGTTAATGCATTATTGTTTTTTAATTTGATTTATGAAAGAATTATAGTAAAAAGGCTTCCCCACGAGTCAGTAACACTATACTTAAATCAAGAGATGAACTATTAGGTGTAGTATATGTTGGTTTACAAAGGTGTCTCAATTTATGATCCATTGATATGATGCATTGTGACTATTCAGAAAGGCACTGAAAATGTACAGGGCCTAGTGAATCATTTTCGTAGGCCAAACTAATTTGGGAACTTACTAGTAGTGAATTTATGCGATTAAAGCATGCATCTTAAAATAAAAACTTAATACCATAAACGACCTGGTACGGCCGATGGTGGGCAACCTTCTTTCTTCCTCTCGAAACGTTTCATGTATCCATACGTTAATGGACTATGCCACATAAGCCTCATTCACTGCCTTCATGTGACGGAAATATTCTTCGCAAAAGTGAAATGTCGAGCGTCAGGGTCTGGCGCTTACAACTGGACTAATAGACATGTAGACTTACATAGCGGAGCTGGATAACCCTGATTCCAAACCTATGGTGTACATGGGCTGCAGAATTCTAAAGGACAGAGTGAAGTATGAACTTAGCTCCTGACACTGCTCCACCGCCTTGTGGATCATAACTCAAGTTATAGGCCCGGGGATTGGCCCCTTGAGAGAACCACCTGCTTCTATCTGGGTGTACGAGTAGTATCTGAGGCGTCGTACGAACTATGAGCTTTTGTGTGTGTTGCTTCTCTTGATACCCAATAATAATAATCTTGTACCTCTTTGAAAGATATATCTGAGTTATGGATCTCATTTTTGTACAAAATTACAAACTCCTACTCTTGTATGACATGGGCTTGCAAATCTTAGTTACTGGGATGTGTTAAAATTAGTTTATAATTCTATTGCTAAAGTAACATAAGTACCCACTGGGAAGTATGAAGAGTAGGATATCTTATTCCTTTTATTTTCAAACTTGATCATTACCCGTAAAACACACATCTTATAACCAAGTGGGAGAAAGTAAATGCAGTTACTGCGACACTCATGCACTTAAAATTCGCCTTCTAATTAGATACTACCGTCAAACTCCTCTCCACTTATTTCAGTCTAGACGACTGCATTCGTAAAGAGCTTACTTTCACAAAATAAGTAAGACTCATAGTGGTATAGAAAATCTGTTCCGGATAACTCGGCTGTAACTAAAAAAATTAACTGACTGACTGAGTTTCAACGTAGAACTTTGAAAAAAAGTGCAGCAGTCCAAGTTGGTACATCCCATGTAGCACACAAAGATAGAGGAAGGAAAAAATACTGTAATGAGCAGAAATATGTAGGAGAAATAATGGTAACATGGAAAAACACTAGCACTTAATGGATCTGGGAAAGTGAGTGCTATCGCAGCATATCATCAACAGTCTCAAGCTATTGATCCTTTGCATTTCGAGAACCCCAACAAGACAGTTTAAGCCCTCCTAAATTGATCAAAATGAGTCAGAGACTTAGCACTCATATTTGACTCTGAATCATTTACTAGATCGTCATGACAGTATTTTAGTTCTTAGGTTTCAGCAAATGCCGATGGTGTAAAGTCCGAAGATGCTTAGATGAAGAGTTTGGACAGATTCGAAGAATAGAATTCAGAGTAAACCAATCGGCATTTAACTGTGTGATATCAGTACGAAAAAACATTCACAGTAACAAAGTCAATGTTAAATAAAACAATACAGATCAGACTGAATCTGCCACACAGCTAATAACAACTTATGATGTGAATCTGAATTATAACTTTGTGCTAACTCTGCATGCTAGAACCCTGTTAAGTAAATATGACTCTTGATCGTGCGCTGCCAATGAGATTGGAAGTTTTACCACAACAAAATAGGAACAATAACTGAGTGGACATGCATAATGTGCAAATATACGCAAATTTTTAATCCAACTGAAGCATGCATTTCATAACCTTGAAAATACTTTTTTTTAATTTTAAGATTAATTAAGATGCATACCGGGAAGTGCAGTGTCATGCAGAAAGCATCCCGAATAACTTACTATGGGATAAAAGCAATAGATTAGCTTTTACCCAAAGTTGTAATACAGAGATGATACGTT